GTAAGGTGTTGGATGACAGGAAGAGATCGTCCCAACAGCCCGATCGTATCTCCCGCAATGTTAGCGGATACATAAATCACGGAAACTCTAGTCTAGAAAAACAACGCGTCCGACGTCTCTGTTGATGTAGAGAAACGATAAATCAAAAGGGTGCAAAATTTGGTTCCTAAATATATCAAGAACCGGCAGTTTACTTCGAGAAGACTTGTCACCTGTTCCCTGTTGACAATCCAAATATTTAATTGCATGTTTTATGATGTTTACTGCTCGTGTAATTTGTAAGAATTATAAAAGATCTTCGAAATGATACATTTGGGAACGAAACCATAAAAGTTTTTGAGTTTTACTCGACATGTTTAATTAAGATTGCAGAATGAAATACTATTAATCCTTTATACTACTAACTCTCTTTTTTTCTCTCAACACACAGACACACACACACACACATTTATTTTTTTTTATCTTTCTGATGATAAATGGTCTAGAAAGAAAAACAACAATGAAATTAATTTCTTTTCTGGCTGAAAAATTTTCTTCCAGCAAGCGATAGTTCTGATTACAGCATAAATTACTATTCTAATAAGAAATTCTCTACTATTATGTCCTATTGTTATTTTTGAATATAAATTGAATTGCTGCTCCAGTATTTAAAATTTTCATTTATCAAATTTTTAGATTCAATTGCTAATATTATATTCATTTATAATAAAGCATGTATGTATATATATATATATATTATTTTAGTAATTACATTTTAAATCGTTGCATATAACATACTATATTTTAAAATTTCGCGATTAATGTTTTCCATCTTCTATCATTAAAAAATATTTCTCTTAGACGTTTCATAAAAAAATAAAATTAATTTTAAGCATATATATTTCAATTATAAAACGTATTGATATATTATCATCAGGTTTAATTCATCGGTAGAAACAAATGTTCATCTATTTTATTTCTTCCATTACATATTTTCAAGGAGAAAACAATTTTCGATATAAATTTAAAGATTACATATATAGGCCTATAACAAACATATGTTTGTTTAATAATAATAATAATAATACACTACAAACGAATACAGTCACTGCGAGAGTTTTTCTACAGGAAACAAGAAACATCACAATTACATAAAG